ATAAGAACAATTAATTTAAAATCGACTATTTCCTCCATACCTTTCAACATTTCTTTAAGTCTTTCCTTATAACCAATGTAAATATTCAAGCGATCAATTTCTTCTTGTTGAAGTTTTTCATCATTTGGATGAAGCCATTGTGTTACCTGTAAGGTTATCAATAAATGATTAGAATTTACATAAAAAAGAAATGAAAAGTATCGTATTAAAAGATTTTGTTCTAAAAGTACGCTTAAGATTTAATTCATTTCACACTGTAGCTCTTTTTTGCTGTTTCTTCCAATCATGATACGATTCTTCGAAAGCTGTTCTTGAATGAGAACCACTTTTTCCGATCCACGGATGATGAAATAACCACCCGGATCATACGGACATTCTTGGACATGTGCAAGTTCACTCTCATTCTTAATAAACTTTTTTTCAATTTAATTAAAATAATTTTTCGGCAGACTCCAAAAAATGAAAATCTGGTAATGACTAAATTTCTAAAATTCAAATCTTGCAAATTCCGTGAAAAAAAGATAGAACTACCATATTTTTTAAAACACATTTACTGGAACGTAGCATGACAGGCATTTTGCCGATTACAAGACCATTCCTCAAAACACGCTGACTGCCACGAGTGTATTCAATATCGACCGAAATGGGTGCAGAATAAGTCATATCCCGAAGACGACACTCATGTGGACTGATCTTATCGTTGATTTGGTTAAAACCCTCTTCGCTTGAAGGCATTCCAACACGGATATCCAAATACCTACAGTAAAATCTTTCCTAGACCCAATTTACTTCCGGCCACTTTTTTCCCTAATCCTTTAAACTAAATTAGTGACCATTATTTGGAAACCACTGATAGCTCTTTTGGAGACGATTTAGTCATTGTAATAAAGACTAGAGTGTATCCATTTTTCTTTACTAAATTTAGAGTATTAGGCAAACTTAAATCCTGGAAAAACACATTACTTCAAATAAAATGATGGATTCGCGTCACTTGTGATTCTATCATTAGCTCGTAAAATCTTTTTGATTTCAGTACTGACGAAATAATCGTAGCTGGCAATGTGTTGCTTAACAAGTCCGCGGACCTTTAAATACGACAAATTAAAACAGCGAAGTCCCCTTAATTTTTTTTCTTTTATTTAAACAATTCCTTTTTCTGCTTTCAAAATTCATTAAATATAAGCAGACTTTGGTTTTGAATTTCGAATCAATTTTTCTATCTGAAGCAAAAACTATTTGATATTAAGGACTAAAAGTAACGTGAAAGGGATAGATATAGCTCAGTATGATTTGCAACTATTACATGCCCACTTGAACGTTAATTCCAAATTAACATATTTATTTTCCTATTTTCCTCCTTATTTTCCTTCAAACTCAATGGAGCTTTGATCATTTTGAATTTATCTGCGGTTCTTACACGAAAATATCATTTTAAAAGTTGTTGCATATGTTGCTGGAGACCTTCATTTTTGATAAAGCGTGCTTTGTCCGAAAGGAAATCAAAAGGTATCTCTACAGCATTCCCAATGAAATAATTACCTGCAAAAATGCCGGGACGAGGGCCCATTTATCTTTCACCGCTTGTACTTCTCCAGTAATCCTTTCCGTCATTTTCAATCACTTCAATTACGACTGGTCATCATTCCATGTACACCTGCAATTCACACGTCCTTTTTAATCGATAACCAACTCCATTCTTGTTTTGGGTCACTCGTTTACTTCAATTGGTTAACAAATAAATGAATCAGTCCAGTCCACTCTTCAAACACAACAGCTGAAGAAACCAATGACCCACATCGAAAAAGCAAATCTCAACATGAAGTATCTCTAGTCTTTCTAAGTTACTCAACAATATCTATGTATATATAGGGACGCTATGCAATTGCTTTCTGGTGTATGTTATTTCCTTTTGTGAAAGTCTCAATGGCCAACCAGTGGACAGGGGAGGAAAATGTTATGGCGACTGGTATCATGCGGAGTATCAATGTGGTTACAGGTGTTTTAGACACGAAATCGTGGTACTTGTCACGTTCGTAGGGTTGAGATGATAGGAAAATCTCATCCTTTATTAAAAGGAGATGTGTTTATTGGATAAAAACCTGTATCACAACTGTGGCATTTTTTTCTGATCACAGAATACCATTCAGCATAACAATAGTGTGTGAGTTCGACACATGCATCATTACCAACACAAACACCTCTTTCTGTCATCTCTTTCCTTTCCTTTCCGGTTACTCAGTTCCTCCTGATTGACTTCACATTTTCGACAACCATTTCGATTCTGATGCATTTCCTGTGCACATTCTGGATGCACGGCATGCGCACACGTTAACATTACTACGTCCTGCAGTAGACTGTACTTTTCTAAGCCGTTAAATTCAGTTGTTAAATTTTCGAAATCTTTGCCTTACTAGTTCATCCTTTTGAATGGTGTGTATCTGTAAGAAATAAAAGTTATTTTGGAGTAGATGACCCTAACCATCTCCCACCTTTTCTGTTTGCTTTCCGTTATTGACAAGATTCGTAGTTAGCTGTTTTCCATTTACATATAGCTAAAGAATTGTAGTGAATATTCTCTTCACCACAAGAAATCAAAAAAACGACTGGAAATTCATTAATGTTGATTGTTTAGATTGACAAGGCTAAAACCGCAGTTTCTTCAGCCAGGATGTTTATTGGACAGTGCTGTTTAAGACTGACTTCATCCAAGAAATACTTCACTTTACTTTACATCTAAAGTTTGAAATTCCTTAACTTCATGCAATCCATTAAGCGGTCGCTCACACAAGGAACAGTTACCATGTCGTGATAAATACTGATGCCACAGCCACAGTCGGGCCGAGCACTTACTCCCCTTCACTTCCTCTTTACCTAGTTTCTGCAAAATTCTTCTGAATTCCAAAACAGGAAATACTTATATACAATTATTTCTATTCATCCTCACATACACTTAGTGAAGTTCGAAAGTAATTTTTTCCTTTATTATAAGGTCATTTCAATTGCGATAATCTTAGCTCCGAACGGAAATCTAATCAGAAACTAATTTGTTCATTAGGATTAGGAGTTTCCAGCAACCTGCGCAAAATCTATCGATTCAAATGAATCCGCGACCAGAGTGATTCGCTTATTTCGATTATTCGCTTCTAAAAATATTCTTCCAAATTTTTAGAAATAGTCCATTGTTGCACGGTGAGTGTAAAGATCTTAAGCCGAAAATCAATGAAATTTTAGAAAATTTGGCTGACCTGTCTATACGTTTTACGTGGATTGCACTGCCCATTTCTCATACTTAATCAGTTAAGCTCAAAAAAAATTTACGAACAAATAGTACCAAAACGGGTTTTTACGCCTAAGTTCTCCTGAATTATAGAATTCTTTATTCCCAGTAATTGGAGGCGCTTTTCTAGCGTTCTACTCGCTTCCGGACTTTCTGCAGTCGTGTACAGCTTCGCTTCCAGCAAGCCGTAAAGTTCCGTAGCTGGTTGACAGTTTGGCACAACGAACATATTATGGCGTTTAAATGTATAGAGCGTTTCTATGTTCGATATCAGATTACAGGTACTGATGATTATTTCGATCCTTAAGTCTCGATAACATACTACAACCTGGAAATTCTTCACCACTTCTTTCCACCGAACTTTGTAAATTTTCTGCTAAAGCAGAAGCTACTTGACCTATTTACGTTTGACTTGTGCTTTTTTACAATCATATCAAAGTAAGATCAAATGTATCTGCAAAGCCGATACAATGATTAATCGATGTAGGGTCGTCGGAAATTCCAGAGAAACAAGAAACAAATTTAGTAATTTTTGCCTATGATAATACCTAAACAGTTCCAAAATTACACACTTAACAGTAAAATCATCAATATTACAAAGCCTTCGGTGAGAGCAACTCACTACATTCTGAACGACCGCTTTCAAATGCCGAGTTAACGATTGTCACCAATGTAGCGATTACTGGCTACTTTATATCCCACCATTTCATTGTCATGCATTAGTAGTTTCGGGTGAGAACTGGACGGAAGATCGGTCTTTCTGAATATATACTCGGTTTCCAGTTTTCATTTCCACGATAACAACGCTGTTATCCTACTTCTGTCCTCAAATCTAGAAACTCCAATGATACATCGTCACACTTAGAAGCATATAATTCCTTCACTAGGCAGCATCACTAAACTAATCGTAGACATCCCATGCCTTATTGTGTTCCTGCTAATCGGTGATACTTTTCAGTTCTCGGAATTTACTCCTCTGATATTTTCTCGCCTCTAAAATCCTGAGATTCTCTCAGTCCTCGCCAATGCACTCTCTATTCATGTCTCTACTTGCTATCTCTTGCTTTTCTGCATTGTTTTGTTTGCTCGCAGTCTGTGTTACATGTTTTACAACTAACTTGTCTCAGAACCTTCTCAAACCTGCTCCTCTCACACTGTTATTCACGTACCGAGGTATTGTCACGTACGTCAGCCGCGGTCACTTGCATTCCTTAATTTACCTGAGTTATTACTTGCATTCCAATAGACAGCACTTATATCACGATTGGTCGGTATAATCTGTATTGTAATGGGTTAATAGAAGCTTTCTTTGGAAGCAGTTTCTTGTCACTTTTATTTATCTTCTGTAAACTCATTGTACCAATTTCAATTTCATATATGGTATATTCAGAGGAAACAAAAAAACATTTTCCAGTTACTTTAATATGTTTAACACCCCACGTGTTACGTTATTGATTTGGACGGATTCATGTAAGATGTGCTCCCTTATTTTATAATAATTCCATCGATTCTTGATGGTATTTGTCAATTTTCCCTTATTGTGTCTTCCACAGTGGTTTCGGTTATTGTTTCTGAACATGAAAGTTGTAGATTTCAATTCATCTGAAATACTACTATATGGAAAAGATGAAGGAATTGCTGTAACATCTCCAATGGCTGTCGCATCGTTTGGATTCTGATGTTAAAGCAACTGGAAGATGGAAATTGTCGGGAATGGTTGCTGCGCTATAAAATCATTTATTTCAGCAGTGATCGAATGGCGTTCTGCTGCCACAGCACCATATTTAATGTTCATCAACAGCGCGTTTTGGTAAGCGTATTTCAAAAATGGATAACTTTTATGAAGACGTCTAAGAATGAGGTGGTGAATATGACCTAGTTATCATTCATATTGCAACAAAATGCATAATATCGATGTCATGCGATTAAATAAAACATGTGCAATCGCTGAACATGTGAATATTGCATCATGTTGTCTGATGAGAGAGGAGATACTATGAGGTAACTAGCAAGCAAGAACATCTTGCAGGAATGCTGCAAATAGAGAGAACATTTTGCAGAAATGCTGCAAATCGAAAAAGTTGAGCTTCGAAGAGATGTCTAAGAAAAATTGGGCTTAACTCACCCAGGGTTACTTAAGTTTCAAATTTTTCTGGCGTTTTTTTTTATGGAGGGTTTTTTTCTGGTTTTATTTTTCTAGGTGGAGTGTCTTTTATCTAGATAAAGAAACACAACTACGATTACTGGTCTCATACGCTGCAGGTATCTTCGGCTGGGATATCTTATTATCTTCAACTTATGATCGAAGTATTTTGTTCCACATCTTAACTTGGCCCTCGCGAAGTGTAATAAGAGTTAGTTTCGCTACTTTTATCTGGATTAAATCTAAAATTGCACGATTTTACTAAACTTACTGCGGATCGAAAAATGAAATGAGAATTAAGGTTATAAAATTTGAATCTAAGAAAATTCATTTTTCGTGCGAAATGCTTTATAGCAACAAAATTGATGTGATGTTAAGTCCTAGGCCAGGCTTCTTTTAATTATATCGTTTTAGTCGTCGGACGCTTTCGTTTCGTGATCTATTGCTAGTGATATGTGTCAGCAATGCAGTTCTCATAGTTTGAGAAATGTTTGATGTTTTTTATAGACGACAAGCGTTATAATGGCCTTGTACAGTGCACAATTCCTTTATTGGACCGAATTTGAAAAAGCATGTTGGACTGCTTATAGTGCAGGTTTCTTTTTTTTCGATTTTTAGAGATTACATTGTTGAAAAAACACTGTTGAAAAACACTGGATGTACTTTTTACTGTTTGCAGTCATTGTTATTTAACTTTCTGTTCGTTCCACCAGTACATGGTTACAGTTCAAAAGGTATATTTTTTAGTTGCATTATTAATGATAAACCCGGTGTGGCTGTACTACCAAGTACCACAAAAGATCAACGAGTGCTTACATAAGGTATTTGTAACAACGAAATATGTTACTCAGATAACTGTCATTTCTCCTCTGTGTTTCTTTTACAGAATCCTTGAATATATCGTCATGTTAAGGTGGTTAATAGGTTTGTAATTTTCACTCATTTTAAAGGTCGAAGTTTCTTTTAGCTTGATTTCAAGTGTTTGTTAATGTTATGTCTTTTGCTGTTTTGGTTTCTCTAAGACCTTAAAATTTCAACAATTTTAGAAGCATTTGGAAGTGTTTAAGCTATTTTTATCTTTTTTTCTTTTATTTGGAAAACAAGTTAAACAGTATTTACCTGTTCCTTTGAGTTCTTGTTGAAAAAGTCAAGAGTATGGAACTTTCATTTTCAACTGATATCGACCTTTTCAGCAATATTAGAAAAAGCCAAGAAAGAATTGCTGAGGATAAAAACTGCAGTAAGAAATACCTATGTTTCGACGGTTGCTAAGTTATGCGCTGGAAAAAATGCGGTGCTCAACGTTACAAAATCAACCTTATTCAATATTAAGGACCTCATATCGTGCACAGTATACGAATTCAGAAGTGAGTTTTTTAAAATTTTCATTTACTATCAAAGATTGCATTTTGCGCATGTTTTTATTATGCAAAAATACTGTTAGTTGCATGATTAATACAAAAAATAGCGATATCTTTTTTGCAGTAGCACTCAGAAGCGGAATACTATATTCAATAATGACTATATGGAACGGAGTGGTGTATACAATAACGAGTACAAAGAGCGGAATAGTTTTCGTAATAACGTTCCTGGAGGATGGAATACTCTCTGGATATTTGGCACTCAAAAATGGATTCATTGGCGGGATTCTGCGACTAAAGAATTGTTTAATTACGGGGCTCTATAGATCAAACGATGTCTTTTATTACTCCATCGTTATTACGAAGAATTATATTCATTATGCACTTGCCGCTATTCAAAATTCAATTTCGAACTTCTTTTCTGTCGTTGTGAGATGGATAAAAACGGAAATTGTGAAGCCAGTTCGGCGTGTCTTTCGTGCAGTTATCCAGTTTCTGCAATATTGGCTCTGTGCCCATTGGTGGCCCAACCTTAGGTCTTGGTTTATTTTGCATGTGGTACTCCGGCTACAACTGCTCTTCAATTATTTCTGCTTCGGTATTATATATGCTTTCTGTGGCTATTGGATCAATCCATTCATCGCTTTTCTTTCAAGATATTTCAGACGTTTTTATACTTATTTCCAACAGTCCGTCTTGACTCCAGTTGAAATGTAAGTGATTTCGATTCTAAAGTTTTAAGTTCACAATTTTAAATTACTCGAAAACCTTCAAATTGTTCTCTAAATTTATAGAATAGGATTTTCCTTGTTTGGTTGGTTCAAATAGAAGCAAAAAGTCCCTTAAATCTGTTTTTGTGGTCTATTCCTTTAAATTGGTCTGATCCTTTCAGGTTTATGTAAATTTTTCGTTTATTTGATATGCTTTCTCTAAATTTTCTTTCTTAATGGAGCTTCTGATGTTTGTAACGTAAAACTGAGGAAACAACTAAAACTAGAGATTAGAAGGATAGGAAGGAAAGTATATAAAATTTTATCTTCCCATAAGATAGTTCCTTGATAATTCGATTGGGAATATTAAAGGTGTTTTGAATTGAATGGTGTTACCGTTTTGTTTGCTCACCTACTGATAACTATGTTTTGGTTGCTAAATGCTGAAGAACTGATTGTTGTTTATCAGAT